CATACCTAAGCTTACCAGCTTGTTTTCGACTGGCCAACGTGGCCATCTTGGAGGCCATCTTGAGCCGTCTTAGCGGATTTTTCCGGAATTGGGGATACTCCAGGTGGCCGGCGGGTTGGAAAAATAACCAAGACCAAAGGCGAAAGGTTCCAGCGCGCCAGGCACCCATGCGATGAATCAACAGGGGGCGGCGGATCGAAAACGCCTACGGCGAATCACCGCCGCCCTCTGCCTTTGTGGAAGCGCCTATGTGTCCGACAGCTGGGCTAGAGCTTGGCCGACCTATCGGAACATGTGTTCCCCGAGTCGGTTTGGAAAGGTTTCGGGGAACGCGGGGGGAGGAAGGGGAGGAGGAGGACAAGGAGGAAAAAGGAGAAGGGGGAGGATGCCTCTTCGGAGCCTCTTGAGGCACTCTTGGGCTCGATTGGACCATCTTGGGACCGTCTTGGAGACCATGTTGGGGCTATCTTGGGCTCTCTTGAGGCCTCTTAAGGGCCTTTCGGAACCCTTTTGGAGCTTCTCGGGGGCCTCTTTGGCCGTCTTCGGGCTTTCCTGTCCCGTCTGACGCCGTCGAAGTCCGTCTTGGGGGCCTCTCTGAAACGACTTGGGGCTCTTTTGGGGCGCTTCGGGTCCGTCTTGGAGGCCATCTTGGGCGTCTGGGAGGCCTCTTGGGCCGTCTTGGGGGCCTCTTGGGGCCGTCTTGGGGGCGTCTGGGGCCGTCATGGGGCCGTCTTGGAGGCCTCTTGGGCGATCGTGGGGCGATCTTGGGAGCCTGTTGGGCCGTCTTGGGCTGTCGGAAAGTTGAAAAGGCGCAAATGCCAAAACCCTTCAAAAACCTAAGGAAAATAATTGATTTTGGCCTCGTCGGGCCTTCCTGGAGGACCTCTCTTGGAGGCCTCTTGCGGGCCTCTTGGGCCGTGTTAGACCATATTGAGACCATCTTGGGCCGTCTTGGATGTATCTTGGGGCCATCTTAGCCGTCTTGGAGGCCATCTTGGCTGTCTTGGAGGCATCTTGGAGGCCATCTTGGCCGTCTTGGGACCATCTTGGGCCATCTTGGGGCGGAACAGGCATTGACTTGTGCAGTTTCCGCGTGGCCGGCGGGACGGGCGGGAGCCCCAGGGGGAGTTCTTTTGGAAAAAGAACCAACACCAAAACCGAGAGGGTTCAGCACGCCAGGCGCCCCTGCGATGAATCGACAGGGGGCGGCGGATCGAAGACGCCTACGGCGAATCACCGCCGCCCCTTGCCTTTGTGGAAGCGCCTATGTGGCCGAACGTTGAGGCCAGAACTGCCAAGCCATCGGACCAATGTTCCCCGAATCGGTTTGGAAAGCCTTCGGGGAACACGTGGGCATCTTGAAGGTCATCTTGGCCGTCTTGCAGGCCTCTTGGGCAAGCTTTCGGCGATCTTTGGGGGCTCTTGGGCCGTCTCGTGCCGTCGGAAGGCGGAAAAGAAGCAAATGTCAAAATACGTCAGAAACCTCAGGAAAATCAATGTTTTTGACTTCTTCTGGCCTTCCTGGAGGCCCTCTTGGGGGCCTCTTGGGCCGTCTTGGGCCAGCTTCGAGCCAACTTCGGCCATCTTGGTGGGTTCCTGGCCCGTCTGACGCCGTCGGAAGCCGTTTGGGGGACCTCTATGGGCCGACTTGGGGCCCTCTTGGAATGCTCCAGGGCCGTCTTGGAGGCCATCTTGGGCGTCAGGCCATCTTGGGCGTGTTGGAGGCCTCTTGGGCCGTCTTGGGGCCCTCTTGGGGCCATCTTGGAGGCCACTTGGGCCGTCATGGGGCCCTCTTGGGGGCCTCTTGGGCGATCTTGGGGGCCTCTTGGGCCGTCTTGAGCCGTCGGAAAGCCGAAAATGCGCAAATGCCCAAATCCTTCAAACACCTAAAGGAAAATCAAGTATTTTGGCCTCTTCGGGCCCTCCTGGAGGACCTCTTCGAGGCCTCTTGGGCCGTCTGGGAGGCCTCTGGGGGGCCTCTTGGGCCATCTTGGGCAGTCTTGGACTCTCTTGGGCCGTCTTGGAGGCCGTCTTGGACCATCTTGGGTGTACTTGGAGGCCATCTTGGGCCATCTTCGCGATTTGTTGAGGATTTCCCGAGCGAAACGGCCGTTTTTGGAGCCGTTTTGGGCAGGACATTGGGGAATTTAGCGCCTTCTGGGTGGCCGGCGGGACGGGCCGAAGCCCCAGGGGGAGTTCTTTTGGAAAAAGAACCAAAACCAAAACCGAGAGGGTCCAGCACGCCGGGCACGCCTTTGCTAAAGCAACAGGGGGCGGCGGATCCTGGTGTCCGTCGGCCCATCCCGCCACCACGCCTGGGTTGTGGGTATGAGGCCTCTTGTATATGTGTTGGGGTGTCGTGGGGAACCTCTCGGGGGCTTCTTGGAGGCGGTTTGGGCGCCTCTTGGGGGTCTCTAGAGGCCTCGTGGGGTATCTGTTGGGCCTCTTGGAAGCATCTTGGGCGCGTCTTGGGCGCCTCTTGGGGCCTCTTGGAGCCTCTTGGCGACATCTAGGGGCCTCCTGGGGGCTTCTCGGGCCACAAATGTTGAATGTTCGGTTCGTGGTCTCCTGCTTTGGCCCCTCTTGTGGCCGTCTTGGGGCCCTCTTGGGCCGTCTTGAGCGTTTATTGGGCCATCTTGGAGCTATCCTGGGCCGCCTTGGGGTCCTCTTTGAAAACTCTTGGGCTGTCTTGGGGCAGTCTTGGCAGCTTCTTGAGCCGTCTTGGTGCGTCGGAAAGCCGAAAATACGAGAAGATCCAAATACAAAAAGCGTCGTCAAATCCGGCCTCTTGGAGCGCTCTTGGGGCCTTCTTGGGCCGTCTTGGAACCATCTTCGGGCGCCTTGGAGCACTATGGGCCTCGGCAGTGCGAATACGGACTAATTTGCAAAGGTGTATGGCTTCGGAGACGCGAGTATTGTGTAATGTACGGTGGTTTGTTGCCTCGGGGGCCTCGGGGGCGCGAATATCCTGTATGTTTACATGTCGCGCGCCCCCCCGGGAATTCAGAGCACGCGATACGAGGTGGTAAATTGCTGGTTTGGGGTTCCCCCCCTCGCGCGGACTTCAACAATTTACAATAGGAAGCAGAAAGCAGAACTGTAACATTGGAGACTTGGAACTGCAACTGGCGCAGGGAGCAGCAACCTTGTCCTGCATCCTGGTTGCCTCCCAAGGGGGCCAGCGGATGATGTGAAAAGTGTACGAGGTAGACCCCCAAGAGCACTCCAAGAGGCACCCAGACACCTCTCAGGAGAGTCCCAAGACGGCCCAAGACGGGCCAAGAGAGCCCCAAGAGACTCCCGAGAGCGCCCCAGGAGGCCCCCAAACGGCCAACGAAAGCCCCAAGACGGCCCCAGATGGCGCGGAGACGGACCAAGAAAGCTACAACAGATCCCTTCGATTCGCGCAGACAGCTCAAGAAGACCCCAGTAGCCCACAAGAGGACCCAACAGGCCCCCAGGAAGCCGCCAACAGGCCCCAAGACAACCCCGCGCGGCGCTAGGAGCCCCCAGGGTAGCCCGATAGGGTCACCAGGACCCTCTCCTGATTCAGCGTCCTTCTCCACTTGCCTTTTACTGTCCTCCGTCGCCGTCGTCGTCGTCGTCGTTGTCGCCATGGTCTTCCGCATTCCTCCTCGTGCTCGCCCTCGTTCTCTTCGTCGTTGTCATCATCGTCCTCCGCATTCCTCCTCGTGCTCGCCCTCGTTCTCTTCGTCCTCGTCCTTGTGCTTCTATTCCTCCTCGTTGTCCTCATGCTCCTCCTCGCTATCCTCACGTTCTCCACGTCATCGTCGTCGTCGCCTCCTAGTCGCCCTCGGCTTTCTTTTCTCTTCTTCGGCCAATAAGCCCATTATACTAAAGCGGCGCTTCCCGTTCGTGTCCGATCAGGTTCCTGGCGTCCCTTTCTCGCCTTTCATGCGAAAGTGTCGCCACTGTCGTGCACACATGGGAGGTCCAGCGCAGCGCGGTCCTACGCGGGCCCAAACGAGACCTCGCTTTCCGTGGGTGCTGACGACTGCACAATGGCCGCCATTTTCGCCCACGCCGGGTGCTGCCAGGCGGCCGTTCAACAGACGCTATTCTGCTGCGCCCATGGCAGGTCCAGCGGAATGGTGTCTTGCGCAGATCAAGTGTCTCCCTCACCCTCCTTAGGTGCTTCCAGGCGTGCCGCTGTCGTTGTGGAATACCCTTGCTACTGATATGCAAAGGTAATTAATAAAATGCACAAAGCTTTTCGCTGGACATCAGCGGGTCCACCGAAGTGGTGTTTGACGCACATCAAATTATAGATGCCTCGCCCCTTCGGAGTGCTACCAGACGTACATCTGCCGCCGCTGTCTTGAGCCCGCAGGGGTCCGGCGGAGTCGCGCCGTGCGCAGATCAAAGGCATCTGCCTCACCCTCCCTTGCAGCTGCCAGGCGCGCATCCGCCGCCTTGCTTGCACCGCCAGCGGGCCCAGTTGGAGGGTACCCCTGGCAGGTCCAGCGGGAGTGGTGTCGCACGTCGGTCAAAGTAGATCCCTCGCCCGCCCTGGGTGCTGCCATGCGTGCACTCTGCTACGCCTCTGGGGGTCCAGCGGGGTGGCGCCGTGTGCTCATGGTTGTGTGTATGTGTGTGTGTGGTGTGTGGTGTGTGGTGTGTGGTGTGTGGTGTGTGTGTGTGGTGTGTGGTGTGTGGTGTGTGTGTGTGTGTTCGTTCGTTCCCCCGCTTGATGCGGGACGCCGTATCTTCACACCGTCTCAACCCAAACCGCGCGCCAAGGCAAACGATGCAGGCGGCGGTGGGTGAGGGGGAAGTACGTGGGTGGGGCACGGTCCGCTGTGCAGCCACCCAACACCAAAATACGCACCCCGAACGCCGCTCTTGAAAGCACCCAACCGCCAGGACGTGCCCCTTCCCCGCACTGGTGTGTGTGTGTGTGTGTGTGTGTGTGTGTGTGTGTGTGTGTGTGTGTGTGTGTGTGTGTGTGTGTGGGGGGGGGGGAGGGGTATGGGGTGTATGTGCGGTTGTGTGGATATGTGCGTGCCTTCACTAAAGCAGACAGCCTCGATCCCGCCCGCCGCGCTCCTGCGTCCCCACCTCCGCCGCACTCCCTCCTCGTACACTCCCGCGCGCCATGGCCGAGGCCGCCGCGGCCGTTGCCAAGTGGGAGGCGATGTGGTCGCGGGACGGCGGGCTGCAGCCCGGCCAGGCGTTCGACGCCTCTGCCGTGGAGCCTGCCTTTGCCGACTTGCTGCGAGCGGCGGACCCGCCACTGCCGCGGGAAGGCGCCGGTGGCGCACGGCCTCGGGCGCTGGTGCCCGGGTGCGGTCGCGGCTACGCGGTCGCGGAGTTGGCGAGGGCGGGCTATGAGGCGACGGGTCTCGAGCTCGCTCCCACGGCGGTGCAGGCCGCGCGCGAGCACCTCGGCGGGCAGCCAGACGCGCACGTGCAGGGAGGCGACTTCTTCGACTTCGACCCCGGCGCCGGCTTCGACCTCGTCTACGACTGCACGTTCCTGTGCGCCATCCCCCCCGAGCGCAGGGCCGACTGGGCGGCCAAGATCGAGCAGCTGCTGCGGCCGGGGGGCGAGCTCGTGGCCCTGATCTTCCCGTGCTTCCCGGACGGCCCCGACCCCGCGGACGCGCCTGACACCGCGGGCGGCGCCGGCGGGGGCCCGCCCTACGCGATGAGCCCGCGGCTGGTGGAGCGCCTGCTCGCCGGGCGCAGGCTCGCCAGGCTGTCCCTGGAGGCCGTGCCCGCCGAGAGGCTGGCGCGCCGCGTCAGCAGGGCCGGCGAGTTCGTCGGCCGCTGGCAGCGGCTGCCCGACGATGCCCCAGGCGGGGAGGCCCCAGCCGAGCTCGGGGAGGCCGCAGGCGAACGGTGAGTGCTGCAATGGGCCTCCGTCGGCGGCGGGCGGCGGAGGCGCCCAAGAGCTCGTCCGCTGAGGCTCGGCCGCCGACCGCCGAGCGGCCCGTAGCGAGAGCCTGGGCGGCCCCTGCGCGGCTCGAGGAGGCCCAGGGCCGCGGGCCCCGGGCGGCCTCGGTGGGGGGCGGCCGAGCCGCCGCACGGCGGGCGGCCGCCGCCCGCCGCCGCTCGCTGTTTTGTAGCCCGTGGCCTCGAGCTGGGGCGGTTGTGGGAGCCTCCTCCTCCTCCTCCTCCTCCTCCTCCTTCTCCTCCTCCTCCTCATCATCATCATCATCCTTCTCCTCCTCCCATGCCGAGCCGCGAGAGGCCCTGGGCACAGCACAGTGTGTACAGTAGGGCGTGCTGCGAACTTCGGGCGTGCGTCTGCGGCTCGTGGGCTTTTTATTGTTTTTGCTGGTGCGGAGAGGACTCGTGCTGACGCAGCCCTGGATATATGATGGGCACAGCGGACATGCGCGCAGTTGCTCTCGCACTTTGCCAGGAGCATGGGGCATTCTCGAGCGCAGTGGCTATGCTCCCAGACAGCATGCGCTTACACAGTTCAAGTTGATCCAACGGTCGTGGGCGGGAAACATGTCCATACCAACGGCCACGCGGGCCGACCCCCAGGCCGCGACCCCATGGATAAGGGGTGTGTTTCGCGGAAGGCCCGCGTGGAACGTGTCCATGCGACCGCGTATCCACGGGGATTGCGCCCCAGCATCCAGACCGCGAGGGCATGGATGTGGACATGATCACCGTTCGTGAAAAGAGCCCTCACGCCGTTCCGCCGACCCCCGCGTGGTGGATGGACGCACGCATCCCGGGCTGCAGCGTGCTGCCCGGCCCGCCGCACGGGCTTCACGGCTTCGCTTGCAGAGAAGAGCCCCGGCCCGCCGCCTGCGCTTCTTTGCTGGCGACGAGCGATATGAAGTAACCTGTCCCGCCGTCGGGGAGGCCCGACCCAGGGCGGCCGGGAAGTTCATACCCCCATTTGCCACCGTAGGCTCCCCAGCCGCCCTGGGGCAGGTGTCCCCAACGGCGGAAAAGGCTGTTTCATACCGTCCGATGTCCGCTACATTCAAAACTCATAGTAAGGGCGCACGGATGTCTTTAGGGTACCCTTGCCTCCTTGCCTCTGCAGCCCGTCCGTCGCGGTTTTCATTGGCCAACTCTTCAGGGTGTTGGCAGTCCGCCGCCCCAAAAGTGCCAGTTTCGGCGTCCAAGGCCCTTGCGTCCTTGCCGCCCGTCCTTATTATACGGTGGGGGCGTTCGTTAAGGAATGTGCCCAGGATGCTTCAGACCCTGGTGGATTCTTTATCTGATGAGGGCGGCGATGCTGTCCATGACACGGCCTCAATGGGCGTTCCCCTGGCTGTCAGACCCTGGATTCCTTGTCGAAGCGTTCCTTATCCAGTAACCCCGCCGTAGACTTCGACTGCAAGCTTCGAGGGGCGGCCGGGCGGCGGGCAGGCGGGCGGACGGGCAGGCGGCGGCGGCGAGGGCCGCGGCGGCGTGCAGCGCACGGCGGCGAGAAGCGCCCCGCCCGCCGCGCATCTCCACGTCGAGGGGGCGGCCGGGCAGCAGCGGCGGGCGGCGGGCGGCGGCGAGGGCCGCGGCGGCGTGCGGCGCAAGGCGGCGGGCGGCGCAAGGCGGCGGGCAGCGCACGGCGGCGGCGGCGGCAACGGTCGGCCACGCGCACAAGGGGGGGGGGGGGGCAGAGGGAGGGGGTAACCCAGACATGATCGCGTCGACAAAAAATCAGGACGGCAGGTTTTTAGCCATTCTCGGCCGCGGGGGGCCCTCGCCGGGCCTCCGGACCGTCAAAAAACGACTCAGGATGAAAAGCTGGTCCTGGGGAAAGGGTCAGGACCTCCAGGGACCCCGTCTTTCAAAAATTCGGACGTCGCATGTCTAGGAAGATTTCTTAGAAGCACCCCTGCCCCTTGGAAGGCGCGGGCCTCGTCCGCAGACGTAAGGCCGGCGCCCTCCATGAAGCAGCCTCCTTCCAAGAGGCTTTCCCCCTCCCCCTCCCTCAGACCCCGTCCTTCCAAGAAGCGTTCCCCCCCTCCTTCCAAGAAGCCTTCACCCCTCCTCCCCCATGCCCTGCCGTGCGCGCCGCCGAAGCGGCGGCGGGCAGCAGAGGGCAGCCAGGCCCAGGCTAGGGATAGACCGCTCTGGGGCGTTGTAGAGCGTGCTCACCGGGCGTTGCGGGGCGCCGTGGAACGGCCGGGGCGCCCCGGTGCATCCTCCAAGACCGCCAGGTCCCAGAGGTCCCCGATCTATTTCGAGTAGTGGCGAGGTGTCCAGGCTTGCCCATAGGCCCACCCAAGAATGTTCTAAGAACCTTTTGTGGTTTGCATCAAGTCTGGCCTGTCCCTCTACAGGAGAAATATTCAAAAATAGTTACCTAACAGCGAAGGCTGATAGGTTTCTAGCGGGCTCAAAAGAGAGCATCTTGACTCCCCAGGGGTGTCTGGGCGGGTGCCGGGAGAAGCCGGGGAACCCGGGGACTCCCCAGGACTCCTATAGATTCCTATAGTTTCTTATGGATTCCTAATCTTCGTGTTCCCAGAACACCATTCTCAGGCTACATTTTGGATGCCCGGAGCCAGCTGTAGGCCACTTCGTGTTCTTCGTCTTCCCAGGACACCACTCCAAGGCCACATTTTGAATGCCAAGAGCCAACTGTAGGCCACTTCGTGTTCTTCGTGTTCCCAGAACACCATTCCCAGGCGACATTTTGAATGCCCGGAGCCAGCTGTAAGCCACTTCGTGTTCTTCGCGTTCCCAGAACACCATTCCTGTACCATATTTTGATTGCCCGGAGCCAGCTGTGGGCCCTTTCGTGATTTTCGCGTTCCCAGAACACCAGTCATGTGCCATATTTTGAATGCCCGAGCTGAGGCACGCTAAGGCCGAGGCAGGCTGAGGCCGAGGCAGGCTGAGGCTGAGGCTGAGGCAAGCCGAGGCAGGCTGAGGCTGAGGCTGAAGCTGAGGCTGAGGCTGAGGCACGCCGAGGCAGGCTGAGGCTGAGGCTGAAGCTGAGGCTGAGGCTGAGGCAGGCTGAGGCTGAGGCCGAGGCAGGCTGACGCCGAGGCAGGCTGAGGCTGAGGCTGAGGCAGGCTGAGGCTGAGGCAGGCTGAGACTGAGGCTGAGGCAGGCTGAGGCTGAGGCTGAGTCTGATGCAGGCTGAGGCTGAGAGGCTGACGCTGAGGCTGAGGCAGGCTGAGGCTGAGGCTGAGGCCGAGGCAGGCTGAGGCTGAGGCTGAGGCAAGCCGAGGCAGGCCGAGGCTGGGGCTGAAGCTGAGGCAGGCTGAGGCTGTGACTGAGGCTGTGGCTGAGGCTGAGGCAGGCTGAGGCTGAGGCAGGCTGAGGCTGAGGCTGAGGCTGAGGCTGAGGCTGAGGCAGGCTGAGGCTGAGGCTGAGGCAGGCTGAGGCTGAGGCCGAGGCAAGCCGAGGCAGGCTGAGGCTGAGGCTGAGGCTGATGCTGAGGCAGGCTGAGGCTGAGACAGGCTGAGGCTGAGGCTGAGGCAGGCTGAGGCTGAGGCAGCTGAGGCTGAGGCCGAGGCAGGCTCAGGCCGAGACAGGCTGAGGCTGAGACTGAGGCTGAGGCTGAGACTGAGGCCGAGGCAGGCCGATGCTGAGACAAGGTGAGGCTGAATGGGGGGGGAAGGGGGGGGGGAGGAGGGGAGGCTGAGGCAGGCTGAGGCCGAGGCAGGCTGAGGCTGAGGCAGGCTGAGGCTGAGGCTGAGGCAAGCCGAGGCAGGCTGATGCTGAGGCTGAGGCTGAGGCTGAGGCTGAGGCTGAGGCTGAGGCAGGCTGAGGCTGAGACAGGCTAAGGCTGAGGCTGACGCAGGCTGAGGCCGAGGCAGGCTGAGGCTGAGGCTGAGGCTGAGGCTGAGGCAGGCTGAGGCTGAGGCCGAGGCAGGCTGAGGCTGAGGCTGAGGCAAGCCGAGGCAGGCCGAGGCTGAGGCTGAAACTGAGGCAGGCTGAGGCATCCGTAGGAATCCATAGGAATCCTTAGGAATCCCTAGGAATCCTTCGGAATCCGTAGGCATCCTTAGGAATCCGTAGGCATATTTAAGCATCCTCAGGAATCCTTGGGAATCCTTCGGAATCCTTAGAAATCCATAGGAATCCCTAGGAATCAGGATTCCTAAGGATTCCTAAGGATTCCATTGGATCCTAAGGCCGTTGCCACTGCGACTGTCATTGCTAATGCGACTGCGACTGCGAGAACAGCATAATTTTACAACTGGATTCTCACCTGAATCTTACGGGGAATGCGTCCAGATATGCTTATACACATCGCTCTTAGGTTGCTTTACCGTTTTTTCAAACAAAAAACAGTGAGGATGCTTTGTTTGTTTGGATATTTTCTGAGTATTTCCTGCGATTCCTCCAAAATCCGCCTGTAGGGGAACATGTCTGACCTAAGGTGTGCACGAAATGTTCTTAGAACATTTCTGGCTGGGGCTGTTTTGTTTTAACACATCGGCGCTGTGCTGTAAGAGCATTGCGTTTGTTATTGAATCATTTCTGGGGTTCTAAGCACATGTCGTGGTAGGCGTATAGGAATGCCGGGACGACTGGTCGCTGCTCAATTATCTTGATGTTGTGTTGTCACGTTCTTGGCCTCGTTTTGGGAAGGCGGGCAACGGCGGACGGGGTGACGGCCGCGGCGGAACGCAATTGACGGCGGCGTGGCGGCAGCGGCGGCGGCGGCGACGACGACGACGACGACGACGACGACGCCCCGACGACCACCACCACCACCACCACCACGGCAGAGACCCAAGTTCAGGAAGAGTTGTCTGTCGCCTTGGGTTCCTGGCGGCGAATCTGAGGAGCTCTGGCGCCGCTCCGCTTCCCCCGGCTATCCCCTCGGAGACCCGCCGACCTCCGGCGACTCGACCCCAGACATGCGACGTCCTGATCTTTGTCCATACGGGGTCCCTGGAAGTCCCGACCCTTTCCCCGGGACCGGCCTTTCATCCCGAGTTATTTTTTGACGGCCCCGAGGCCCGGCGAGGGCCCCCCGAGGCCCAAAGTGGCCAGAATTTTCCCGCCCTGATGTTTTTACGACTCGGTCCTGTCTGGGACAGTTGTTCGAGCCCCCAGCCCCCCGACGTCTCGACCCCTTCCCCGGGGGCCAGCTCTTCATCTGTGGACGCCCGAAATGGGTACGGAAAGAATGGGTACAATGCCCAACAGCAGTTCCTGTTCATTTTGAATAGGATTCGCTGTGCACGCCGCCGCGGCCTGTGCCCATTCGAGACAGATGGCCGCCTGCACATCAGCGGCCGCTGTTGGTTTGGGACAACATTTGTTGTTGGGCATTGTGCCCATTCTTTCCGTACACATTTCGGGCGTCCAAATCATCCCCAAAGCAGCTGATTTTGCTGCGCTGCGGCCCTACAGGTTGGGCCCGGAAGCGGCCGGCCTCCATGGACGCCGAAGACGGCGAAGAATACATATGCACCCCGATGTTGCTTCGTTGGGGTCCGTCCCTCTGGACCCTGTGCTGGGCGACGGACACCTTGTCTATATCGAAGAATTACGGGAAAAAAAGAGAGAAAAAAAAACGCCATCAGCATAAACTCTTGGCGCTCCGCGTGCATTTCTTGGCTCCGCCTACCAGGGAGGGGGGTCCAGCGCAGATCCAAGAAATCCGCGCAGAGCGTCAAAAGTTTATGTTTATGGCGTTTGTTTTTCTTCTTCTTCTTCTGCTATACCCAGGTTCCTGCTCCACCTGTCCGCGAGAATGGGGAGGGTGGCAGGGACAAGAAGCCGAGCCTCTGGAGCACAGGGTCCGTACGCATGCCGCACAGTGGAGGCCAATGCCAAGAAATACCCTGTTCGCCTCCAGGGTGCCCTGGGTTTCTTGGTCTTCGATGGTTTTGCCATGGAAAGCGTGACGTCCCCGCACCAGAAATCCATGGACGCCCTGGGGTCTCAGGGTTGAGTTTCTTGTGGAAGATTTCTTGCGGTCGGGCCACCACTGCACAGACGGAACCTCACCGACGAGATCGGCTTGCCCGCAGGGGCCCCACGGCACCATCTGAGCTCCCGAGCGGCTCAGGGGCCCACAGAAGCTTTGGGGCACCTGAGGACCTAAACATATCGACGGAGACTGTGCCCCAAGGCTTCTTGCAGCACGCTTTCTACTTATATGTGTCCACTGTATCCTCCCTACCTTCCTCCACCTCCTCATCCTCCTCATCCTCCTCCACCTCCTCCTCCTCCCCCTTCTTCCTCCTCCTCCTCCACCTCCTCCTCCTCCTCTTCCTCCTCCTCCTCCTCCTCCTCCCCATCCCCCTCCTGCTCCTCCTCCTCCTCCTCCTCCTCTCCCTCCTCTCCCTCCTTTCCCTCCTCCTCCTCCTCCTCCTCCTCCTCCTCCTCTTCACCTCACGCTCCTGCGCCTCCAGCTCCAGCTTCGGCCCCTGGGTGTGGTCGTAATACCATTCCGCGCCCACTGCTAGGCCACTTCAGCCACAGCTGCCCGCCCCGGCGCGCTCATCCCGAAATGCTATCCGCGGTGAGTGCCCTCCTCCCCCTCCTGTCCTCCCCGGCCGCTCCCCCCTGCCCAGCCTTCGTCTTGCAGCCGGTCACTGCGTCTGCCGAGCGCCCCGGCAACGCGAGCGCGCGTGCGGATTGCCGCTGCCGCACCGCGACAAAAAATTGCATCCTCCCTACCACCCAGGGTGGGGGGCCTCAGCGTGCGCATGGCTACGACGCCGATCGCCGATGCGTGGGCCTCGCCTCCCACCCCTCCCGGCCGCAAGGCACGGCGTCCCGTGGCTGGACCCCGCCGAGGCGCCGCTGGACCCCGACATCGTGCCAGGCTCCGAGGACCTCCCGCCCGACAGCCGGAGGGATGGCCGACGAGCATTTGCAGGGCTCAAGAGACGGGTTCAATGCAAACGGGTGTCATCGAAGAAGAAGAAGAAGAAGGAAACAAGGAAACAAAAAACACATAAACATAAACTTTTGGCGCTCCGCGCGGATTTCTTGGATCCGCGCTGGGCCCACCTGGCGGCGCCTCCGGCGCCGCCCCTGGCGCGTTCCGGGCGCCAGGGAGGGGGTCCGGCGCGGATCCAAGAAATTCGTGCGGAGCGCCAAAAGGTCGTGTTTGTGTGGTTGTTCCTTCTTCGTTGTCAGCCAGAGCACCAGATCTTGCATGATCCTGCAGAACCCAGGGTGCACTGACCTGGGCTTGCGTGCAGGATGTTGCAGGATCCTGCAAAGCTTGACTGCCCGGGTTTGCATGGACCCGGGTCAGTAGAAGCCGCGCATCCTTAATAGATGGATTGATTGTAGTCCTTGACATTCTCCCGCAGTGGGTAAACATCACGACGGGTAGTTTTTGCACATTTTCGGCCTCCTGGGGCTCTCCCTGAGCCTTGGGACCATCAAATTTGTAGGCAGGATGCTCAGAAAACGGTCCCGGGGAAGGTGTCCAGACCTTTGGGGAGCCAAGCTGTGGAAAACACGACAGCACGGATGGTTCATGTCATCTCGTGGGCTCCGAGGACCTTCCGCCCGACAGACGACGAGATGGCCGACGAGTGCTTTGCGTTCGGTACTGCAGCACGGTAGGTATGTGTCATGTCGGCGCGGCGGCGACCGCGGCGCGGGCGCTCCTGGCTGAAAGCCGTCGCAGCGCCAGAAACCGACGCCGACGTCGTCACGACACGAACTTTCAAATGCCAAGGCGGTGTGCCAGCATGTGCCCTTCGGCGTTTTCTTTCTCCCTCGACGGCCCCGGGGGACCCACGGAGCACCGCGGAGCACGTCGGGAGGCGCAAAAGGATCGACGACACAAGTGCCCGTGGCATGTCCTGCAGCAGGATGTCGTGTCGTATGCATGTGCTATAAGCGTGCCCCCCAAAAGAGCAACACTGGAGTCTGGAGGTTGGACCCCCGACCTCCAGAGGTTGGGGTTTCCTATTTCGGAACCTTCCCAAAACACGGAAACAGAAGGGAAACAGCAGGGAAACCGAAGGGAAACAGGAGGGAAACAGAAGGGTACAGAGGGAAACAGGAGGGGAACAGGAGGGGAACAGAAGGGAAACAGAAGGGACAAAAACAAAACATAAGGGAAACATAAGGGACACACCTGGAAACAGGAGGGGAACAGAGGGAGCTTCCACCCCCGACGGGGGGTCAACCTTGCCGCAGCGGCGCACCGCGCCGTGTGCTGGAGCGCCTCCCGCGAGCGGCTGTGGTCCGCGACGGCCTTCGATTCGAGGCTGCTGGGGCGGGGTTGGCGCCCGCCCGCCCCCCCCCACAGCGCCTCGGACGGAACTCGGAGCAGCCGCGAGCGGAGGAAGGGTTTGATGACGTCGGGCATGTCCCTCTACAGGAGGAATATTCCAGCATCGTCAAACAGTAGTCGGGGTACGATTTTTCTAATATTTCTACTATTTTGGGGCATTGTCGTACTATGTTCCACTTGTCCTGCATCTTGAGGCGCCCTCGTGACCACGGCCACCGCAGCTCGAAGAATCAGTCGGGACGGCATTTGTGGAGGCGGCCTCGGGCCCTGCGGCCATGGAAACCCGCCCCGCAATCCAAACCCCAGCCCTGGGGATGGGGTCGAAAGTGCCGGCGGCCTTCCTGGTGAAAATCTCACCGAGCGCGCTCCATTACTCGCAAGGTGCCTGCTCGCAAACGTCCGAACAATAACACACGTGTCTGCGCCGATGCAATGGATCGTACATCCCCCGCGGCGGATCCAGGCCACTTGCGAGTACTTTGCGAGTACTGAAGCGCGCTCGTCTGCAATCACAACCTCGTACCGTAAGTTCATGCGGCGATGGCGCGCTGGCGACGCCGACGAAGGCGTTCCAGGTTGACCTCCGCATGATGGAACGACGCGGAAGCACCGAGGGACATGGCATTGCCACACGACCCGACGGAGCTCAACTTTGAACGCTCGGGGCCGCGATCGGTTCAGGGTTGAACGATCGACGCGGTGTCAACAACCTTTGCGCGCGCCGACGCCGCACGAACCTGCCGCGTGCCTGGGAGCATCGGGCCCTTGGCCTCGCCAGCGCGTGCGTCGGCGACGCCAGCGACGGCTGCAGGGCTCCTTGCCGCCAGCCTCCCGGCGCACTCGCGAGCACGGCGCCTCCCGAATGGCCGCCGCGGGGAAATGGTTCTTTCCCAAGTATCGTTGGGGGTCCTTCTCCGTCAATGAGCCCGCGCAGGAAAAAAACAAACATGCATTGTTCCATATTGAGAGGGGTCAAGAGCCGCCGCGGGGAAATGGTTCTTTCCGAAGTATCGCTGGGGGTCCTTCTCCGTCAATGAGCCCGCTCAGGAAAAAAGAATGCACTGTTCAATTTTTGGGGGGGGGTCAAGATCCTCCGCGGGGGAATTGTCCTTTCCCAAGTATCGCTGGGTGTCCCAATCCGTCAATGAGCCCGCGCAGAAAAAAATGCATGCATTGTTCCCATATTGGGGGGGGGTCCAGATCCTCTGAGGCTGCTCGGCGCGCTCCAGGGCCAAGACGCGGCGGCCAGGGGGCCTCCGAACGATGGTGGTGACCACGCCGCGTGGTGAGCCAGTAGCTTTCGGAAGTGTTCGTGAGTTTCTGGTAGTCTCCGGAGGTTTCTGGACCCCGGCGGGGCCTCCATCAGCTGCGCCTCGCCGAGGGCGTTCCGGGGGTGCCAGAATCGTCCCGCACGGCCGTCGGAGAGCCGAGCTGTGGCCCGCAGGCCATGGGAGCGGTGACCACACCGCGCTGTGAGTCCGTGGGGGATCGGGGTCACCGCACGGGTTTTGGATCTCGGATCGTTCTCCGAGGACGTCTCGGGCGACCTGGGCTTCGAGGTCCCAAGACCGTGCAGTGACGGACCGCGCGGTGAGGTCTCTTGAGTTTTCGAGGGCACCGCGCGGTCCATCACCACACGGTTTCTGAAGACCCCCGATTCAGGCGCACGAGTTCGCCGTTCGTTGCAGGAAGGATGGGGCGGTGACGCATTCCAGGGGTGGGGGCCACCAGTCAAAATCGGCCCTTACACTCAAGACGCTGAAATAAGGAACAAGTTGGTGTTCGGAAGGGGATGGACGTTCTCTAGGTCCTTCCATGGCTATTCCTCTAGCCCTCCTCGTGAGCGAAGGCAAGCTGGGGTCCTAAGAGGGGCTTCGTTCCTTCGCTGGCGTTCCTTATTTCAGTTGCCCGACTGTACAGGCCTCTCCTCTGGAGCTGTCTGGCCAGAGTCACGATGCGGATCCAACCGCGGCGGCTAGGCCCCCCAGGAGGTACTCTAAAGTGAGCTGGGCGATGCAGGTGAGTGGGAACGATCGTGCGCTCGCGGCCGCTTGGCTCAAAGCGGCCGGCCGCCCAGATCTGACTACACCTCAGTGCGAGGTGTACTATTTGCCATCGATGCCAAAACTGCTTGAGACGGCTCGCTTCCTACTGGGGCTATCGCTGCTACGGTACAGCAGAGCTGGAGCTTCGCTTCGCCTAAGGCGAAACTGCTGGTTGGGCCTCCCAACCCTTTTTCAAACTTGGTAGCGGAGCTGGCCTATGGTGGTCAGCTCTTACTCTACTCCTCACCATCCACGGTATTATCTGGTGGACTACTGACGTGGTGGAACATCAGAGTGCAGTGGGTTTGCGCGGAGGAATGTATAGAACTACGCATCATAGCAAAGACACTTGCACTGACACCTCTGCCTACGCAGAAGCCTCTTACTCGCGTCCTACATCCCTGCGCTACTACACCCCTGAAGTCCACCACCTACTCCAATTTGAAGCTTCTTCGAAGACATAATGAATTGAAACATGCGCTACGACATTGCGCCGCCTCCACCCCCACGCAGGCTTACGACCACACACCGCAAACCCCAACCAACCACATCCGACTACGACGTGCGAGGCCGTTGGATTGGTATTACTATCTTTGGGCTCACATGGGTTGCTATCGGGTGTGCGGTGGGACATATGCGTGGCGGAGACGACACAAGAACGACCGGCCCGCATTGGGGCCCGTCCGGTCAAGTACCATTCCGCGAGTTCGCTCGCGAGGTTCATGCCTGGATCAACGTGACCACAAGCAACATGGCGCCCTCCCAACAAGCTGCAGCCTTACAACGCGGTTTTGGGGGCCTCGCACGGACCATAGCCATGAGACTTCCCCCAGCAGTTATCAATTTCGGCGTAGGTGGCCGCCATACCGATGGCGTCACCTACATCATGTCCCTCTTAAGTGCGAAGCTCGCAAACTCAATTCTGGTACAGCTCCCATTGACTTCCGAGTCCATGCGGGAGAACGGATCGACCAGATTCTGGCACGTTTCGAGACAGCCCGCTATGAAGCTGCAACAGCAAGATTTATCATCCCCAACATCCAAATTCTAACAGCTATTTGTTTTCAGAGCCCTTGGGGTGGGGACGACGCGTGCGCCGCAACTCCTGCAACCACTAAACTACCACATGCCGAGGGACCGGCAACAGTTTGACTCTCTACTTGAACGCATAAGGTCATATGCTCGCATTGTTGAGAGGAGCCCTGGCAATATGGGTGGCATTTTCAGTCGCGGCCACCGAACCGAGACCTTACACGTTGAGGCAAACGCAGGGCAACCTGCTCATGGCGTCCGGAATGACGATCCGCAACCAAAAGAGACCACCACTTTGCTGGCTCAGAATGGTGGTTCGGCCTCGGGGTCGCAAGATTCCTGGGCCAGGTCTAGGGGGCCGCCCGATGCGATGGCCCCTGCGCAAGCCACGACCCTAGTGGGCTCAGCGGGGCAATCTGCTGAGTCCGACTTCGATTCTGGGACTGACGCCGACGCGTCCTCGGACGACGAGGCTACCGCCCTAGACTACTCCGACATGCCCACG